GCTGCCAGCCCTCTTTCCCCCTGTTAAAGGTGACCGTGGATGAAATATCCAGCTCTGGCAGCACTTGGGAATCCCCTACCTGGCATCACAGGACACTTCTGCCTTCACAGGTTGCAACAGTCTGACCACAAGCTGGTCATGTTAAAGGGGCATGGGAAGGATCTGAGGCAAGGAAGGATATTGAAGATTTTGATTTATTTAATTAAAAGCTTAGATCCTCTGCATTTACAGCCCCCTTTTCTTCCCTTGTCCCATGACACAAGCAGTTTGGGAGTACCGTTAACCCTGGGCACCTAGAGACTATGCCTTGAAGAAGCTACGCATCTGCCCTCCCCAGACTCTTGCACCAGCACGGGTATCAGCTAAGTCTCCCTTCCTAATCCCTTTCCACAACATAACAATTGCCATCACTGGGGTGTTTATTTCCAAAGAAGTCATCATCTAAGTGCCAAACTCACTCACTCTCAGTGGAAGATTTTCATTTCACCTCCCCCCCTCCGCACATATATATTTATTCCCCCAACACCAACACAGATACACTCGCATATAGATATCAGTAATGGGACTCAGCTCTTCTCTGTATATTAAAGCCTCTTTCTTGAGTGGGATTAATCTTGGCAGCTGTCTGACAGGAGAGACTGTGTGGGAGGAAAATGGTTTTATCTAAAACTTGAAAGAAAGCAAAATAATCTTCGAGAGAACAAACTGTGTTTCAACTCTTGCTTCTTCAGTGGAAGGCTATTTACTAACAGAAAACACGCAACAACAGCAAAAATACAAAAGCATTGCTCTGACCGTCCATTTTTTCTTTCCTTTTACTTATGTGGCCACTTTTCAAAACATTTATTAATGATACAGCTGAGTCTCTCCATAGGAGGCCAGAATCTGAGTCAGTTTTGAAAATCAAAATGAAGCAAATCCCATGGTTTTCTTTTAGCTATGGTGGAGCAGGAAAGGTCTCCGCTTCCCATCCTGCCTCTGCTGTACTTTCAGAAACAGGAAACCTAACAAACAAGACATTATGAAGTATCTCCGTATTTCTGATTTACTTTTCCAGAGCAATCACGTTGATGAAACATACCACTGCTCCTCATAATTAAAAACAAAGTTTGCTCCTACAGAAGCTGTATTTCCACTTGCTCGCAAGCAAGTCTCCCTTGGAAAAGGTCACCGAGCTCTGAGGTTGCATTGTGACCTGCGCTCAGGAGGCAGCATGCTTTCCTGTCAATGTGGACACCCTGTTTCCAGTCTCTCCAGTCTACCCCTGTGCTCCTCAGCTCATGGGCTGGCTCCATGCCCAAATCATTCAACCTTTTTTCTGACTCTGGGCTCTTGTTCCAGCCTGTCCCACTTATTCTCTCCTCACCTTCACACTGATGTCTGGTCCCCGCCTAGTCAGACTCCTCATTGGCTTTATGTCACTTGGGGCCCTTGCCCCCTGCTGTCACCTTGCTGTTTCCTCCGCCCAGCTGCCTGCGCCCATGGGTCATGGTAAGGACTGCCTCCCTGCCTGCAGCTCCAGGGCAAAATACAGCAGCTACTTAAGTGAAGTTTCCCAAGGCAAACCAAGCCTAATGGCTGACCTTTTGGTCTGAGAAATTTCAGCTGAAACAATTAACAGATAAAGGCAGATGAAAATGCAATTTCGCATGGAGAATGCTGGATATCTTGCTGCTATGTCTTATCTCATTAAAAATTCCAGCTTTAACACGTAAAAACGTTAAAGGGACGTTTTTTCCGCCCAAAATCTATTTGCCACCAAAGGTACATATAGTAAAATAACAAAATACAAGTGCACCCGGAAATCACGGAAATTTGCAACTGAGGCAAAAGAGTTGTTTCTGAGTAAACCTCTCCTGGAAGGTTCTCTGTAGCTCAGAGAATGTAATTTAAATAACTAAAAAATCTCCATTTGAAGTAGTTCAATTCACTGTGGCATTTGCCATCCTGACAGTGAGGATCCCTGAGAGGACTGTACTGACAGCAAAAGCCACGGTGCTTCATGCGCCTGCACTTATTTCTTGAACAGTTCAATAGCACAACACACTATATGACACTATTACATATGCCTTCACCTGCTGCCAGTACTGCTTCAGGCTTCAGCAACACTAATGCGTTAAATAATGTCAAATCCATTGTCTTTGAGGCTGTTCCTCAGAACAAAGATTCAGTTTTGCTGGATCTCTATGAAGGCATCTTAATAATGTTCCATTCCCATCCCCTTGACAGCGATGATATTTATCACACAACCGCTGTATATGTTTAGCGTATCTCCAAATTATTTTGGTAAAAACATACAGTAAATTTTACACAACAAAGCTTTTTCAAGCATTTTAAAAGACATGCAGAGCATGAAAATGATGCAGTAACCTGTTTGCATAGTGCTCTGCCATCTATCTCCCCGGACTCTTGAAAAACTGACATGGTTCCTCAAGGGACTTACTTGATTAAAGAACATTAATTAATTGAGTGAACATCTGTGCTGTTTTTCAACTAATAATTAAAATTAGCTAGGAATTGTAATCTCCTTGAAAGTGAAAAGTATACAGAATAACTGCAGCCCACTTTCTCACAACATGTGGGTAGGGCTAAGCAACTACAGCATTTACCATAATGGTTCCTGAGAGATTTCTAAGGCCCTGTGGTGGAGGTTTGCTTCCTGGCTAGCCTGACAACAGGAACATTTTATTCTTGGCTTCATGCGTTAACATATTAACCATGACAGTGCTGACATCTGTTGCTAAGTAAAATTGAATGTAAATGGTCTAGAAAGCTGCCATTGAATTTAGAAATTATTTTGAGTTTGAAATTAAGTACTGTCAACACAACTCATGTTTCCACTTATATGCAAATATGACAGGAATTTTAATGACTTCTCCAAACTCCACGTATAAAAGGGAGAAGGGAAATAAGAGTAATGATTTTAATTGCTCTCAAACTGTATTACAAAAACCAAACGACCTATATGGTATCATAAGAGATCAAGGACTATCCAGCAGGACAGAGTAAGTAGGAGGGCTAGATGAGAAAATGTCATGTTACATGTGGAAATGAAATGTTGCTTCCAGCCCCCAGTGTAACCCACAAGGTCAGGATACACCCAGGATCAACCTTTTCCTCATGTGGGAGATATTCTTAGTTATTTAAATACAGGGCTTTATTCCCTGAGATCAAAGGAGGGAGCCAAGGAGAGCCAAGCCATTGGTATGCAGCACCAGGAAGAAGTGGAGATTAACAGCAAAAGTGAGATTTCATTGCACATGACAGAAGCCAACTAAGAGTCTAGAGACCGCAAATATCAGATGACTGCAAAAGAGAACATCTCTGAACGAGAAGGTAGATTCATTTAAGCTGTTCTTAATAGTACTGCAGACACTTAGTCTAGAGGTAGTCAATGCAAGCGCCAGTCTGGAATTAGTATGGGAGTGCTCAGCCACGTAATACTGAGGCTCCAATGAGAATTGGTGGATTCATATAAATATCACAGATATTTGTAAAATTTTCAGAGGCTTACAGAAATGTTTATTTCCAGTACAGAGTCACCTGCACAATAACTGTACTCAGTCACTAGTTTGCAATGTACTCACTTAGTTGTATGCTTTTTCTGAAATGGCTTTTAACAAGATTGGGTGGTTCAGGGAAATGAAAGACACCTCTCTCAGGACATCTGCTTAGTATCCACTAATTGTAGATGATTTCTGAACAGTTTACTTTCTGATCCCTGCTTGATAAACAAAATGAGGGAAGCCTGAGAATTTCTATTCAAGGCAGGTTGAATGAGTCTCTTCCTCATAGCCCCTCATCTGTATCTGGTACCAGCTTTAGAGAAGGGGGCCAGGAAAAGGTACCTTAGAGCACTGGAAGACCAGCAGAAGCCCCAGAGAACCTGCCAGCACTCAGCTCTCAGCATATGAGGATGAAGTGATGGGGGCAGGCAGCACCTGGAACCTGTGCGGTCCACTCACATGGTTCCCAGCCACAGGAGTGAACAGCCATGTGCATCCCAGTGGGACCTGGGCCCAGAACCACTTGAAATTTCTGCAGAAGTGGGAAAACTAAGCTGGGAATTCATCAGACCTTGGTTGCTCTGGTGTCACAACAACAATTGTGATCTTATTTAACCTATTTTTCTTTTCTTCCTACTCAGTTTTTCATTTTCATAGGTGTTCCAATACCATATAATATCCGGCAATAAAATTCTGCCTGGAGTAAAATTGTTCCCCCCCTTTTTTGCTCACAGTGCAGAGAGTTTAAAGCCTACTGAAGGATTAAAAAATAATCTATTTGGTGGCATGATATCATTCCTCAGGCTTATCTACTTTCTTTAGGCAGTAAATACACTTTTTGTGCTACCTGGCCCCACTCCAGCCCAGTATTATACTGGTGTAAGAACTCTGAAGAAAACAGGATTTGCTAGTGCCAGCTCATAGCCTTCTACAAAAGGGGCCTTTCCCTCCTGAGTGGTTTATGCTTCTGAAAACTGAGCACACCATTTGCAGACTGCGAGCAAGAGCCTCTAAAACAAATACTGAGGTTTGACAGCACACACTCTCTTAGCATCTGGGGTGTACACCATTCCCTGAGAAAAAGTCCCAGTGTGACCGCAGAGAAAATGCCACCATTCACACCACAAGGTATTCTGGGCTGGATGACCCACGGACTAGCAGGATGTGTCAGGGGGACAACTGTGGGATGTACCCTGGACGGCCCCTCCCCACAGTAGAGAAACAGAGTGCACTGAGATGTCCTGGAGACTACGGCATCGCTGAGTCTTACTGGAGAGAGGATACATCTCAGAGAATGTAAGAGTATTTGTAGTAGTGAAATAAAAATAAAAGCTGAGGCTGTTTGGGAGGTGCGTGCATACAGCGGTCACCAAGCTTGAGACAAGCATGGGGAAAAAAACATAACCATAGATTTGATCATCACCCTGATCTCATAAAAAATAGTCTGTGTCACAAAGAAAACATGATAGGTGCACATAATGACGAAACACTTACCCTGGAATCCTTTTCCAGATGAAGCTTGTGTTGAAGACTGCGTCTTCTCCTGGCCTTGGCAATGCCATTGTGATAAAAGAAGTATCCGCTATCTAAAAAGGGGAGCTGAGGAAGAGAGAGAGAAAAAAACATGGAGCTGTTGGGTACTGATAAGGATGATATGGAAAACTTTTACCTGTGAAGTGACTCAGGAATCTACAACAAGACTCATGAAGCGTTATGCCAAAGGGCCCAAATCGCTCTTGAGAACGTCACTTCTGTTACTTTTGAAAAGTGTGCCCAGCAGCATTACAGTTATTTGCTACAGGTTTACAACACGTAACTTCACTTGTATACACTTGCTACAATTTTCACCTTATGTTTAAGGTCAATAGTGCCAATTTCTGAAGGGCTTCCCAAATCACATCAAGATTATTTCCTACTTCCTGAAAAAGCCAGAATAAAAGAACAAAATGAACTGCAAATGATTTGAAACTACCACAAACTGTCCTTCAGCAATAAGGCGTTACACAAGTGCTTTTCTGAGCCGTTATAATGCACTCGAGCCGATGCCGTAAGCAGTAAGGCAGAAAGCAGAGTGATTTCCACTCTCTGAAAAATACGGTATTTGGAATTTCTTATGAACACCAAGAAATGGAACATCAGAAGAATATTAAGAAAACAGACAGCTCACAGTGTCTGGGTAGGAACAGTCTTGTACAGCTTTACTTTCTGAGACATTTAGGCAGCAAGCAAACACCTCCCGAAGGCTTTCCAGCCCCACCTAAGGCAGGTGCCAGGGAAGGAAGACGCGTGTCTGTTATTAAATGCATCTCTCTCTGCAGGACTGGCAGAGAGCGACTGGAAGGCTAGCAGACACTTGACTTGGAGAAGGCTAAAAGATATGGTGTTAGGAGAACAGCATCCCACCTCGAGCAGTCAATTAGAGAGCTTCATTTGCATCTCAAGTTCTACAGCTTTTTCCCCATTCCAACTTAATAGGGAGATTCCGGTTGAATGTTTAAACCTAAGCAAGTAACTGCGTATTTTTAAACTAAGCTTCTCTTTCTAAGAGTTGAAAAAAAAAAGTTGGCTCTTGCTGGGAAGTTATATGTTAATGCTGTGAACATTTCAACTACAAAGGTTAGACTACCCTGCATGTAAAATAACTACTTAGAAGAGACATTCCAGAACAGCCACGACAGCCCTGTTCCTCTCCTTTTTATTATCTGTACTTCATGATAACGTAAACCTCTTAGCAGGAGTTCAAAGTTCTTTACTGAAAAAACTGAGACTGATGTCTAGATAGAATATTCATTGTGAAAACCTGGGTTGAATAAGGGTAGCAGGATCTTGCTGCCGTAAAACAGGTTCTGTTCCTGTATACAGGTATATACAGTTCAAAAATTTTCCTTCCATGAAATTATCTCCTGTTTCATTAAATCTATCACTATACCTGGTGCAGTTCTGCAAATATATTTTGACATACATGTGGAGTGGTGTGGGAATGGAAGATTCACAGTGAATTCTGAAAGTTTAAAATTTGGTCACATTCCAAAGATGAGCATGTGAGGTTTTTGGGTTTTTTTCTATAAAGTCCTTTTTTATGTTAATTGAAACATTTAATATTAATGAAATCAAAGCAGTTCATTTTCACTTTTAAAATCCCATTGTGTATGATACATAATATATAAATGCAAAGTAACTTTTTAAAAAAATAAAGCATTCTGTTCTGATAAGACGACCTCTTTTTAAGTGTATATAAAAGGTTAAAGAGATTTCATCAAAATGATTATGGTCCCTTAGAACTGATTTGCAGGGCTGACTGGAGAGCTTTTCTGGGCAAATAATCAGAATATTTTGCATCAGCTCCACACACATGTGAAGAACACAACAGCTGAAGCAGAAGGAGAAATGAGGCTACGAAAGCTCATGGCAGTGGCCACAGGAGTCTCCTACGCTTCACATCCCTCCTCGGAGCCACAGCTCTTAAGGCTCAAATTCTGTCTGGGTTTAGGTCATTTTTTAAAAAGCAGATTTATGTTTTATGTTTAAAAAGTCTAACCCTGTCATCTTTACCAACTGGATAGTAAGGTATTTCCATAATCCAGAGTTTGGCAACAGATCTGACTGTCCAGGAAACAGCTCTTCCCTCTTGTCGGACATATTACTCTACACCTCAAAAATATGCAGGGAAAAAATCTAAATAGCCAGATCAGTTACAGCTTGAAACCCATCTCACCGTGCTGTTACCATCTATCACAAGCTGTAGTCCAATTACCCCTCTAATTCCCTCAGTGAAATCAGGGTATTTTCCTTCTTTTTATCTCAGTATCAACCATTCAAATCAATTCCAGTCAAATATTGATCTTGATGTTCTTCCATTAAGGAAGATTCTTGGCAATTCTGAAGATATCTAGAAATACATAACACGTATTCACTGTTCGTTTTCCGTGTAGGGTTAGTTTCTAAGTGCCACTTAGAATGAAGCAATATATTGTATAGTAAACTTTTAAAGCCAGTGTCTTCAAGTCTGACCATAAGCAAAAGCAATTACTGTCAGTACGACAATGACCAGATTTATGGACAAAATCATGAATAAGTTCGACTCAGACTATTCCGCTCTTTCCACAGATATTGGAGTAATCTTTGAGGAACTCAAATATCTTACAGCTCGCATGGTTTTCACACTCGTTCAGTGAAATAGGAGGGGACAGATAGGAAGGCAGCTAAGTGAGGCAATACCTGAAATGTGACATGATGAAACACCATGGATTGTGACTAATTAATAGCAGAAACCAAGCAATTTGCAGGAAGAATCTAAACTCTTCAGTAAATCCTTAAAATTAATGAACATACACACAGGAGAAGTGAGATGCCAGCAAAGGGCCTAAAATGTCACACGCTTTGATAAGGATTTTGCATTGAGATCTTTGAATACCACAAGCAAGCACTGAAGTGCTCCGGTTTTGATCAACTCCTCCTACTGAGTCAGTAACTCCTCTGCAGCGACCAAACGGCAGGATGCAGGTCGCTCCCAGCTGGGTTTACATTCCCACTATTAGCTTCTCCAGGAGGTCTACTCTGATTTGGAGCTAGAGCAAAATAGCCAATAGCAAAATGAGCAGTGCATGTAATGAAGTGAAATGAAAGCAGAAGGGCTCCTGTACGCAAAAAACTCCAAAGTGTCATTAGCAGTAGCTATTCTGTAAGATACTCATTGTAAAGCTCTAATCTTATTTGAGTGAAATTCCTGTTTCAGCAGCAGCAGGCTGTGCATGTAACACAGAGGAATAATGCACTCAGCCTGGTGGCTCAGGTTCTTTCTGTAAGACAGAAGCAAAGCTTCCTACCCTCAGAGAAAAATTAGCAATTATGTAAGATAACTAATTACTGGAAAGCACTTGAATATTCAAGTGAGGAGGAATATCTAGAGTTAGAACAGGGTCTACTATTGCCTTGATGTATAAATATGGTCCAATACCAAGTAGGACGCTGAGAATCTCGGGAATTACAGGCACTTCGTTACTTGCAGTCTTTGTATAAAATTACTGGGGAAAAATACACACAAACAAAACCAGAATCACAGATACAACACAGCAAGTAGAGCGAAACCTTATATATCCACTGTCTCCTCCTTTTCTTCAGATTTGCAGCCTCCTTGTGGTTATTAACAATACTATCTAAAGTAAAGATGAAATCCTGTTTAACCTCCTTCCTGAAACGGATGTGGACCAGAAAATAACTTCTAAAAATTCAGTGTTCAACTAAATGGAGGAAAGAAAAACTCTTTAAATGGAAAAGGCTTATCTAGAAAGCAAAATGGCTAGGATGTACCGTTTGGTGTAGAAGCAAGCAGGAAACACTTTGTATCATGCACAATTTTAGCACCGATACCTCTGACTCTGAGGTATCATGGCTGTTCTCAGACTACTGCTCCTCCAGGTGTAATTATTACTGAAATAAAAATAAGTAAGTTAAATTTGTGGTTCCCAGCCTTTCTGCACTCTCCTCCTTACGGCTGACAATCTGTCCTCAGCAAGAACAGAGAGCAGGGAATTTACTCTGTGCTGCCCCAGATGCCACCCCCAGGAAGGACTGTAAATAGGCAGCTACAATTCTCCCCTGCCAGGCATTGCTTCTGGGCAGTCATTCCCTGGTATCGAAAGAGGTGGGGCGGAAGACACAGTCCACTGCTGAGCCCTCAACTACTGATCTGTTCCAAGAAGGAAAAATCAGATACAGGGCAGCCTGTTCCTCACAGGCACCTGATCTAGGATGGGGCAGCACTTATGGCTCCCTCGGAGCTGATGGCTCCCATTCCATTTTGTCTACTTGACAGAGAAAAAAAAAATCAAACTGCCCTTCTTTTTTGGTCTTGCCTCGGACAATATACATAGTGGCACCAGATGTAGTTTTGCCTGTCTGAAAGCAAAGGACATCAATATCAGCTGCAAAGTGGTGCAGGGGTTTAAAGAAGCGAAGCCACAGAAAGACTAAATTCAGACACTGTTCCTCATTCTAAAACAGCAGCACTGGGGCCACCTTGAGCAGAGCTAACGCTGAAAACAACCGTAAAAGCATCAGTGTCATCTGACCAGAAGAGCCTATCTGTAGCAACGGTATTAACGAAGCAGCAATAAATGCTAAAAAAAAAAAAAATAAATAAATTTTAAAAAAAGTAGAATAAAGCTGCCAGTGGCATCAGCACTTTACTTGGCTCTCAGTGAGAGGTCCAGCATTCACAGCCCGTCACTAATTTCAAGAGGTGACAAATACAACACACACACAAAAAAGAGGAACCTTGGTTCCCAGGCTTATCTTTAACATCGAATTTTACTGCCTCACTTCAGGGCTCTATCTACATACATCTCACAAGCAAATTATGGTGCCCACAGAAAGCTTAAGAACAGATTGGATTGCCCCCTCCTATTTTAATGGGACTGATCTCTGCTTAGTCTTCCCATGCAGCCTTTCATGCTGTATGACATAACACAGCATCCCTACAGTACACTGCTAGCTTTTGTGCATCATTTCCAATGATTTCTCCCCGATACTGTAATATTCCAAAACCAGCTTACTTGAACCTATTGTTAAGGTTCCTCTCCCAAGTTACCAATGGAGACAACAGTCCCTAACAACTTTCTTTGAGCAAAATCATTGAAAAATACAAGCAAAGGGTGATTTATAACAGGTTACCCCAGGGTCACCTTCTTTGATTGCCACCAAAATCAGCATAAATGGATCCGTCAGTGAACAAGATTCACAGAAAGCCCTCATCCAGCCAGGCTGACAAAGACCCTCCTAGGGCTCCTTGTCTGCCTTAGCATGAGTATGTGGCCAGGCACACAAGGGCTGAAACAAACACTGGTGCTAAAGAAACCCTTTGTCTGCTCTGAGGAAAAAACCAATACCCATCCCCCAAATAATTTTTTTTTTTTTTTTTAAAGTATAACACAAAGCATCTCTCCCCTACAGAGCCCAAGCACAGCTCCTGACTTTAAAAGAGGCCATAAATATGCACAGGTGAGCTCTTTCATCCCATTACTGCTCAGTAATTACACCAACGGAAAATACGACCTAAACCTGGCACGAGTAAATGTATTTGGAGCCTTCAAAGGCCCCACAAGCCTCACGCCTTCAGCTGCCATTATAGTTGAAGCACAACAATGTGTCTCCCTGCAGAAATTAGAAACCTTTTAATCCCAGTTTCACCAAATGCACTGAGGATGCTTATAAATATTCAATATGAATTTTTAAACTCTCTTTCTCTCATTTTCCCTCACCCCAATTAGCATTAGAAATCATTTTACTCTTAAATACATAGATGGGAGCCAAGTCTAAAGTCAAAGGCACTCACTCGCTATAGCGACAAGGGCCATGTAAAAGTAGAGCCAGCTAGAAACACAGGCAGCCCCAGGCATCGAAATAACACAGAACAAAGCACGACCAAGAAAGGATTAATTCAAATGTTGGTGCAGAAATGTGAAATAGCACAGAGGACTAAAGCTGTGCCAGAGCTTACTCAACATGAAATCCAGTCCACAGTGTCCCCACGGCCCCAGGCAAGGATTTCACACTTTCTCATTAGTGTGCTATAATTACTCTGAAGGCTCACCATAAGGATCTCAGGTGGAGCTAGGGATCTGCACAAGCTCCAAACAGCCCTGCAGACTGGCACAGTCAGGTCCAGGTCTGAGTGTTATGACTCAGTCTCCCTGGCTCATTTCTCATTGCACCTGTGTCTTATTTAGCTGCCTCCACCAAAGCCTAATCCGCTTGTCTTGGCAAATCTGGCAGGTGGAGGTGTTAGCCATAGCTTTAACACTCCCAAAACGTAAATCTCATATTAAAACATCATCAGAAGATGATCCTTGTGAAATCAACTGATTAACACACAGTACAACATTTCTCCTACAAAACAATTCAGAAATGACTGACTTAGATACTTACGTATGTTTTCAGCTCTGTTTCATACGCATATCCAACCACCTCTTAAGGGAATCAGCAACAGGCGGCGGTAATAAGGACAGACTGTGACTACTTGGTTGAGGGATCATTGATCTGTTTGTTCTTCCTTTTTTCCATAAGTCAGTGGAAATATTGTAATATGCATGGTAACAAGGCTACCTGTTATTGTTATTTAGGATATTGGTTATCCTGTAAGAACACAGCAACCTTGCTTAAAAAGTTCTATTGTCTTTCTCAAGCCAGCAGAAATAGTTTCCAATGGTTTCTGAAAGGTTCCCTCACCCCTGCAGTGAAATGTCTTTTTCTCTAGAACAGTATAAAGTCAAATGCGATATCCAAAGACTTTGCAGAATATATGCCTTTAGATTTTCTTTTATCCAAAAGGATAAAATAAAGCCTTTTGTCTAGTCCCTCTTGCATGCAGCAACCACAAGGTTAAACAGTCTTCCCAACAGTTGGACATGAGGGGTTTAGTAAATACAGGGAAGTAAATGGAAGAAATGGAACCAGCTGTGGACTACTATTACGCTTACATGTCCAGTCTGTCCATGTGGAATTCATCTGAACTCCCCATACAACTCAGGGCAAAAAAAAGAGGCACTTTCAGAGCATGATTCTTCTGAACTATTTTAGGTGACCATGTTAAAATGAGCAGAGCTGTGCCCCAAGAGCACCTCTTTCACTCCAGAGACTAT